TATGAGTATTTTAGCTTCAGGTCTCGGTTATCTGGTCTACCGGTGCCGCCAATGAAGGATGTTCATAAATGATGTGTTTAAAAGCATGGCTCCCAAAACCAACCACGCGGTAGATGGGCTACATCAATACAGGGGCTTGATCGCAGTCCGGCAGGCGTTATCAAGAATGCGCACCCATAGCAAATGTCAACATTGAATGTGTGTCGGCAGACCTAGCTGAAGGCGCACACCGTGCCAACTTTGGTCCGTACCGCTTCCCTCTTTTTCTTGTTGTGTAAAATCCTGGTCAGTGTACGTTGTGGATCAGAGCGTGTGGTGGTGCGCCTAGATGCAGATTTTTGCTGTGCCAGCCACTTGCTGCCTCTTGCGCCTCCGGTCTTCTTGCCTGTGCCATGGCACCGCGCCTAGGCGGGGTGGGGAGGGGGAGAATGCGGTAGATTCAGCGATAATCTACTATCACTATGAGCGGATTTACGCGCAAGTTACCGTCCCCGCTCTGACTCTGCTGTGGAGCACACGGTGAACATCGTCGGTCAGGAGAGTAGAACTGTCGCATAAAATCAACCAGGAGGATCTTCGGAAGCTAAGTCTAGCCAAATGACTACAAAATGGGGATCATAGTTTAATAATCCACCTCATCAATGACCATCGGGACACAGGAAAGTCTCCACTGAATATCACTGCAACGAATACTGAGACACCCTAAATTGATAACCTCATAGCCCCTATGCCTGACGACTCCACGCTGAGCGCCCTGTGAAGGAGACTGATTTAGAGATGAAGTATAACAACCGTGGCTGAATCTCAATATCACGGCCGCTTTGAAACATGTACTTCTCAGGCTTGTCTGATTTCAGTTTGTCATAAATCTTAATGACGGTCTCAAGTGTGAGCCTCCACAAAGGCAGTACACATAAACATAAACGTAAGATGTGAAAAGCAGAGTTGGTTCACGCCTTTTTATTCGATAGTTCAACTGGCCGAAACACTCGTTACGCTGGGACTGGTCTCTCCCATAATCGAATTTGGTTTCACGCACAAATTTATTTATATTGAAAGGCACCTCGACTGTCCCCACCTGGCTTCGTCCACCAGTCGAAGCGGATACCCGGATGTGACTGCCGCATTCGGCACACCTTCGTGAAACCACAAGTGACTGCTGGGCCGCAGCTCAGATCAGGACGAAGCGATCATTGGCCAGATCTATGTATCGAAATGAGTACCCCTCCCTGGGCGATCCACACACCTGACAGTTCAACCGTCGATCTCAACGATGTCCACCGTACACTCCACAGTAGAGCGAGATCAGGGACGGTGACTTCCACGTGAATTAATTTGCAGTGGCGGCAGACTTGCGCTGTATCTACCACACTACCCTCAAAATACAGTAAAGAAGACCGGAGGTGAGAGAGGGCGTACGTGACCAGCGCGGCCGCGACCGCCCCTAGGCGTGCCACCATACCCTGCTCGGATTCCATGGAGTGGAAGAGCCATAGAGGCGCCATTGCAGCCTGACTCTCAGTCCACCAGTCTATCACTCCATAAAAACTCACACTGGGCTGACTGCGGCGTCCGAGTTATCCTGTAAGTTGGGAACCTTCCAAGTGACGACTTCTAGCGCGCCTGATTGATTATAGTGAGAAGTGTGCCGAGTCGTCGACTTCACTCTCTATTCCCATTCCCAGGTCCCAGCCACCGTCCGAGCCGGTCAGATGTCTGGTGCGGGGTATGGG